CATGATATCAGTACTGTTAGAATCAGTGTGAATTACACTTTCCAGGGGTATCAATATCTGCTCTGTTCATCGTGGGGAAGAATCCATAAATGTGCTTAGAAATGTTAGAAAATGCAAACACTCCTGATAACTCCAGATCGTGCCCCATGGTCGTCTTTGAACGTTTTCTTCAGTATCACACTTGTTCCTTGAGTCAAGGACGTTCAGTCCAGAAGCTTCCAAAGAGGCAAAGTGTTTTGCAGACGTCCAAAATATTTGTGGCAGCTTTGGTCGCTCTAGTCGCTCATCACGTGAATCATTGAACTTTCGATCGTGCTTGTCAATTTAAAGGAGCCTCTAAGTGACTACTGGCTTGAAGCATAGTTGCTGCTTGCTGTTGTCCAGTCAGAAAGCTCATAGTTGGCCTACAGAGAGTTACGTTTGGTCAATGAAAACAGAAAAACGTATGTCATCCCATTCAAACCAAGCAAGGAAGACTTGCATGCTACGTCGCAACATTAGCCTGCAGTTCTCTCCTCTATTACGAACATTACACACTTTAAAACTCACCAGACCAACCATCTACCTCCGCGACGCGGTCCCAACCCTCATTCTTTTTATTTTGGTCTTTGTAACCGAACAGCGACACATTATAAAGGATTGAGTGGGCTCCAACACAAGTAATAAACTTGTCAATATCCATTGTCGGAACAAGTGTGCTGTAGGAACCAAAGTTACATGACTTGTTCTCTGGGACCTGCTTCATCGAAGCACGTCAGCATTCCGAGTGGTTGCTGCCGAACCACGTCAGAGCTCATTACCATGAAGTGAAATGATTTTTAACTCCCCTCCGGACCGCTCCGGTTGCTTTGCGTGTGGCTGACGACCAGGTCACCAAAGTCGCCCAAGTCGCCCAAGTCGCCGGGCTCTCATTGAAAATGAATGACTTCCGCTGTTTTGGAAGCTCTGGTCTCTTTTGGTTTGAACGTACAGTTAGACCTTTGTTACAAACTGCATCTAAGGCCTTGTCTATATCGTTACAGATGATTTTTAAATTACTTTTCTCAGCAAGTTTAACAAATAAAAAACCTCCATGGATCATCGGTCATAATTGACCTTATTTTAAGTTCGAGGTTTCCTGTCAACAGTTTTACAAACGTCTCTTTTGTAATAGTGGCCTATGAGAAAAAATGCTTTGGGCCGCAGATGATTTTCTTGCTGCAATACCACAAGTGGTCACTGGCTTCTTGGGGGCGTGGTCTCAATTTCATTTTATTTCCTTTTGACCCCTCCCCGGGGTATAACGGACAAACAAAAACAGCAATAACAAATCAGAGCAGGCGGCAACCAATGCACAACAAAATAAATAGAACAGAATTAGTGTACATACGTACAAGTCAGAGCAAGTCAAGAGAAACTATTCAGGATTTTCTTTCAAAGTTTCAACAAATTTGACAAATCCTTTACTTTTCGAGATGACATTAACTTTTGAAACTTGTAAATATTTGGATTTACTCTATAGAACTGTCCGACCAACTCTCTTCTCTCTTTGTTAAAGAAGGAACACACAAGTTCATAATGATATTCGTCTCCTCGATTGCCAGTCAAACAAAGAGTACATTGCCGAGGGACATTTTCACAGTCATACCTGCTCTCAGAGATAGGTAACTTATGATTTCCACACCAAAACTTAGACAAACGAACTCTTTTGGCAGGTGTTAACATAATCAAATAAGGTTCAAAAGTGAAATCAGTTTTAAACAATTTATAACTATCACATAAAGGGTTGCTTTGTAATTTCTCATGCCATCTCTGTAGTTCCATGTCAGATAATCTATGACATCACATGACGGACCCAGATGGTGTAATTCCACTTTTGGCCACTATGTAAAATTGGATTCAGAGCCTGGCACAGTTCTTGGAGGCCTGGGACCAAAGGCTTTTTAGCAGAGATGGGACCAAGTCACACATGTGCAAGTCTCAAGTAAGTCTCAAGTCTTAACCTTCAAGTCTCAAGTAAGTCCCAAGTCATTTTTTCTTGGGCAAGTCAAGTCAAGTCACAGGTTATGTCAAGTCAAGTCCAAGTCAAGTCACCTTATTATTGTAATTTTACCTGCAGAATCTGATCTTAATAAAGTGAAAAGACAAGATATAAGTAACTGTCAGTAAACATTGACTTCATCGCTGCAATGTTTACTATGCAGGGACGCCCCCCATGCGTGCGCGCACACACACACACACACACACACTGGGGTTAATGTTAGCAAATAAATTAAAAAACAAGTTCCACCAAACCGACCCACCCCCCCACCCCCGTACCGTATCAAGCTAACGTTAGCTAACTACCGACTAACCAAATAATATTAGCTAATTGACAAGCACTTACTGGGCAGAATGGCTCTTCAAATGACGAACAAAGTCTGAAGTTGTCGTCTGGCTGTCCGACGTGTTTATGCCACATGTCTTGCACTGTGCTGTTCGTCTTTTGTCGTAATAATGGTTATTCCGAAAGCCGAAGACGATGACTCTCGGTACTTCTTCCGCTGACATGTTGATGCCTCTCTGATATAAGAGGGCCTGTTTCTCCAATAAACACGTAAGGTACGTAGAGAGGGCATGACTGATTGACAGGGTAGTGATCTAATCATGACAACGCCATTCTCAGCCTGCACCTCAAGTCCAAGTCACAATGCCTCGAGTCCCCATCTCTGCTTTTTAGGCCCCACATGTGGGTGTTTTGAGGCAACCCATCGATGTTTTCCATCGTGGATAGTGTGCGAAAAGCAATTCTTTTTCACTCAGACATCCTGCCGCGATGACGCCAAAACATGACAAAACATTTCCCCATAACCAAGTGGTTCTGGTTTCTGGCGATTGATTTGAAGAGGGAAGTCATGTGACTGATTTACATGTTGTCTCCTTCAGTAGTTGTTTTTACACATTGGTTTTTGTACGTGTCAGTCGTTGAGCTTCAGCGGTGCTGTGCAGAGCCAGGCCAGCTGTTTCCAGTCTTTGTGCTAAGCTAAGCTAACTGGCTCACATTCGCCATCATCAGACCTGCTCATATTTGCACTTGGCTGAGTGTAATTTTATTTTTGTGACTCAGCTTAACAACAGATAAAAGATGAATCATCAGCAGTATTTTAAGTAATGGCTGCTGGCAGGAGAAACCAGGTTAAACATTTTGTCGTAAAATTTTACAGCAACAACATTATCTCTCTTCAACCCTCCTCCTCTTCTCTCCCCTCGTCATTATCCTGCTCTTTGTTCCTCATTTCTTCATCTTTCTATTTCCACACCTCCCCTCTCACTACTTTTCATCTGCTGTTTTCCTTCACCTTTATCTTTCATTTCATTCCCTGCCCTTTCAGACCTCCCCTCCAATCTTCCTCATGTCTCCTCTATTCCTTATTCCTTTCTCCTCGTTGTCTTATTTTCTACCCTCCTTTCCCTCCCTTTTCCTCTCCTATCTCTTACACTGTACACTCTCTATCCTACCAACTTTATTTTGCCTCTACACCGGCAACAGCTGTGGCCGGAGGCATAATGTTTTTGGTTTGTCCATCCCATTACTGTGAACGCAATATCTCAAGAATGTCTGGAGGTAATGTCTTTAAATTCAGCACAATCTTCCAGTTAGACTCATTGATGAAGTGATTCAATTTTGGTGGTCACAGGTCAAAGTCACTGTGACCTCGTCTGCCTCATTTTTGTGAACGCGATTGCAATTTTCCGGATTGCTGCAGCGCTGTGTTTTGAATTTTTCATGTCTCTCGTCCTCTGCTATTGATTTAATTTTGTCTGAATAAGACAACTGTGTTTGAATTGTGGACATCGGACAACACATATTGACACATCTGAATGAATGAATGAATAACGTTTTATTTCGGTTACATACATCTTGGAAAACAAAGATTATTTCACACAAATTTTCTCACAGTCTGTCACTGAAGGAATAGGCTGAAGCTGCAGGCTTATTTTTGCCGATCCTATTTTAACCAAAGGAAAACCCAGAACATCAACAATACCAAAGAAAGGAAATAAATAAATTAATAATTCAATACATTATACTCTAAAGTATAATCTTCAAGTATTTTACAATTTGATCATTTTACATTTTACATCTTACGGCTTTTTACAGAGAGCTACACAATTTCAATCAGCACCGAGTCCATTCCATAACTTAACTCCCAAAACTGAAACACATCTGTATTTTACATTGGTTCTCACTTTACATGTTTCATAAATAAACAACCCTCTTAAGTCATAATTACCTTCTCTTAATCCAAAGAAATTTTGAATACAGACTGGAAGGTTTCTGTTGACAACTCGAAATATCTGGCACGGACCACTGCTTGGACAGTGACATAGAGCAAGGAAAATGGGCTGAAAGACTAACGTTGGTGGCTGTTAGCATGGATAGCTAGCATAGTAGGACTGTTTATATTTCTGTTGGCCGCTATTATTGCATTAACTGTTTATTGTTACGCTCGGTTTGTTGCCGACAATATGCAAAAAACAAGCGAAACGCCACCTAGACATGGCAAGCAAGATGGTGGAATCTCTGAAGAGGAGGTGGAGGTCATAGAGAAATCAAAGGTCAAGGTCAGTGTGACCTCACATAAAAACACGATTTTCAGGCGTCCATATGCATCCATGTTTTCACAGACATAGATGTAATCTGTAACTGCACCTTGACTCGTTCGTGGAGGCATTCAGCAACAAAGTGGTAATACTAGTTTCTCTCTATTATGTGTGTTGTGTCTTTCTGACCTTTCTCCATCTGCACTCCCTCCTTGATTCCCTCTCTCCCTCCTCCTCTCATTACCTTCTCTCCATCTGTTCCTCTTTGCCTTTATTTCACTCATTACTGACCTGTGCCTCTCTCCCTCCTCTTCCTCTCTTTCTTTACCCTCTCCCTCACCCCCTTTATCCTCCCTCTCATCCTCCTCTTGCTCCATTTCCTTTCTTATCTCTTCTTCTCTCACCCCTCCCTCCTCCTCCTTCTCGTCCCCCTGCAGGCTGTTGATGGAGAGGATTTCGGATGTCAGCCGGGACAGTGGTCATCGCAGGAGGAATTCTGGCTACAGTCATCTTACTGACCATCGTTGCTGTACTGTGTTTATGTAGGTTGCAGGTATGACGTTTCACTGCTCACTACACATCTAATGCTGAACAGACAAGCAGCCCAAGCGCCACAAAAAAAGCATTGTACTTATTTGCAAACCACAGATACATTACATTTGAACATTGTTATGTAGCAGATACTTTGACATTTTAACAACTTTTTTTGTCTTAAATAATCCTGTTCTGTGGGCACAATCCCAGCAGGAATAACAGTGATGTGTTGCTACAAAAGACCCAAGTTTAAAGAAGTGTAACAATTAGCTAAATTTACGGTTCGGTTCGATACGACACAGTGGTGAAATGGTTTAGCACATTTCAAAAACAGCAAAAAAGTAGAAATGCCAGAGAGATATCCTTGTTTTTTTAAATACTTTATTTGTTAAAACGATCATCATGAGGTGTGATCTTATCTGACTTGACTTTTTTTGAACAATGGTGGGGTTATACCTGAGTGACCCATCTTCAGGGGTGTCTTCAGATGTCAACAGATGTTCTCATCAGATGGTCAAATTCGGGATATTGTCTTCGGAATAATCATGGAATATTAGTGTGCATGTAAACGTACCCAGTGTTGATGTTAAAGACATCCTGATGTTTGATTCTGACCTGTCACTCCCTTTCTGTCTGTCAGTATTACTGCTGTAAGAGGGAGGAGTCTGAGAAGGGGGAAGAGGAGGAACCAGAGCTTGCCACTATGTCGCCTTCCCGCCCTCTGGCTCTGTCCGCTCCCCCTACGCCTCCAACGCCGGAGCACTACGGCGACGAACCGGAGAACTACCCCCCCACCTTCCTTACTGAGGCCAACGGGCCTGCCAGCTACTCCCCCACACCGCCGCCGCGCAGGTGCCAGCGCTCACACGCCTTCTGCCCGTCCTGCGCCCGCTGCTCACTGCCCTTCTACCTGCAGCACCCGGAGAGGCTGTGCAACGGCGGGCGCAGGATCAGCTACAGGACTGTGCAGCAGCAGGACCTGGAGCTGCCCATGGACCTGGCCAGCTTCTATCAGAAGCTCAACCTCATTCGCTCCGTCACCATGAGGGAGGTGGTCACCCACAGCGTCAGCACTGACGTCTAGGAGCTGGCAGGAGTGAGGCATCGCCGTCCTGTTGGCCTGGGGAAAGGTTGCTTTATACAAACTGCACTGACTCATCTGCAAACACACTAAATTAACATGTTATATAAGCGCTCTGCTGTGGGAGCAGCGTTAGCACTGTGCTGTACTGGTGTACTACAACACTGAGGGCTTTTGGGTGATGTGACATCTCCTGGCAGCCATTTTGGAGGTCCACAGTTCTGGAGCAACTGCCAACAGCTGAATGCTTTTGTGAACATAAACATGTGTTTCTGACAGACTTGAACAGACTCAGTTTTAAGGTGGAGTCAGCGATTCTGGAGAAAGATTGTTGACAATGCGCTTTGACATTTAGCATGTCCCAGAGTCACCGTCCCACTGCCTTTCTCTTTATTCTCAAAGTCAACTTCCAGCCTGCTGTTGCGATGTGACTAAAGGTTGAGGGAAAGGTCACTTTTGGTACCATTTGAAGCAAAGCAGAGAACTGCTCAGAGAGGCGGCAAATTAAGATTGTTGTCTTTGTGACATCAACACGCCGACATAGGGAAGAGCTGCTGGGTGACGGGCTGTAAAACTTACGAGACGAGACAAATCCAGTTCTCCGGTTTTATATCATACCAGTTGAGGAATTGTGTAAGAAAAAGTGGCTGGCAGACATCATCAGGTAAACACAGATGGGAGTGTCAGTCAAAACAGGCCCTGGTGCCCCAGGTCAGATCACACTTATGTCTGCTGTACCCATTTCATAGCAGGTGAGAACAATACACGAATAACAGTGGTGTAACTGAAATACACCGAGCCCACGTTTGGTCTTGGATTTGGCAGTCGTTATGAGCCCAGGCTCAGCCAGTTTAAAATACCTATACTTGTATTATAATTTTTTTTTAAGCTAGCACCAAGACATGTAAGACAACCTTAGACATGATTCAAGGCCGATCTGGGTGAGTATTCTGTCAATACTTGTTTTAGAAATCACCAGAAAGGGCTTCAAAATAATCGAACGCCATGTTTGCTCAATACACTTCAATCAAAATGTAACTGAAGGTCATGAAATTAACCGAAGTTTAATCAAGATTTTGTAGCGCACAGACCAGATGCATGCCCTCTTTCCACCAGACAAAGATGGCGGTCATCTTGTGGTGTCGTGTTGACTTTGGTAATACATCCATAGCCTTTTCCCAGGCCCACAGCAACACCACTTAGCCCTTTAACAAGTGGATGCTCGCAGTATTGAAAAAACAAAGCACCTTCCTCAAAAACTACCCCAATAAAACAACATCTGTAAAACTGTTGACAGGACGCCTCCAACTGCAAATAAGGTCAGTTATGACTCAGTTACAAATTTTTGGTCCATTGAGGTTTTATATTTGTAAAACTTTTCACAAGGTGAGAAAAACCCATTTAAAAATCTGTGACATCATCACAATGTAAAGTCTATGAGCCGAGTGGGAACCTGCGGGCAGAGCCAGTAGAAGGAACACTGCTACACATATTAAGTGGGCTGCATACTGTGAACGAAAACCCAGCCGCAAGAAATGTTTCATGCCATGGCTGGAGGCATTATGTCTTAGGGTTGTCAACATGTCCATACATACATATGTAGTGCCATGTTCATTAACACAGTATCTCACACAAGGCACAAACGTCCAGTCGGATAATCAATAATAAAGTGAAGAATAAAGAATTTGGTTGTCAAATGTCACTGTGACCTCACAAAACAAGTTCTTGGCCATAACTTAAGAATTACTTTCTTGTGTGTTAGACATCTATGTTTGCAACTTGACGAGGTCGCAGAGACATACAGCCTCAAGGCGGTAATTCTGGTTCAGCAAATGCGCCCCATGAGCAGTTTTCTTGGACTGAATAGGTGCCATCTTCCGGTCTGGTATCTATTATTATCATAAGCCCATGCCTTTTCCTTTTCCTGTGCATGAGCACAAACGCTCCCAGTTGGTAACTGGCTGGAACATTGCTCTTTGTTTGTTTCCCAGTGACAGAGCCAGGGCTGTGTATGAACAGTGTTTTTTGTTCAGCGCACACACAGGACCAAATCGCTGACTGCACCTTTAAGTGGATCTTTTTGTGATCAATGTCTGATTTTGTTGTTTAGAAAATTAGCTTGTTTGCTAATTAGCTAGTTCAGTAGCTAACCGATGTATGTGTTTCAAAGTATAAACAAGACTAGTTACAATTTGTTAGTAAATATAACACGGATTTTGTTTGTTTGATTGCAGCACACAAGAGACAGAGGTGGGGGTAAAAATCCTGAATAATTCCAGTGCAAACAGGACGTTTCCCTAAATAAGGCTAATTGTTGGTTAGTTAGCAAGCTAGCTCAAGGTTTGTTCAGGTTAAGTCTTGTCTTATTGTCAACAAATCCCATGTGCGGACCAAAACCAACACTAAATGGAAGACATCTTTTTAAAGGCTCAGACACAACAAAACAACAGCAGCGACAAAGGCGGACTGTCGCGTTGCCTCACGTTTTCTGTGTCTTGGCCAAAAAGCTGTACTCGAACACATCGCAAAGACCACAGTTAGCTAACTAGCATGTAAGTTGTGCACCTGTGTGAGAGGAAATACCTTTCCATACCAGCAGATGGCAGTAGTGTGTCTTCATCATTCAAAATGGCAAATAGGAAGACCAACAGGACGGATTCAAGATGCTAGTAAACACGTTAACACAACCTGGTGCTGAAAGAACAAATGTTATTACCGTGCAAACAGTAACACAATTACGAACTGTTTCTGCTGAAGAACTCAGTGGCAAAAAACAAACAGAAAAACCCTAATATAACAAGTTTGATTCAATCTCACGCCCTCTTGACTTTTGCCATTTGTTTACTTTCCTCACCTTCATTTCTCTTCTTGCGCGTTGAGCTAAGCTGCCAATCAAAGTGATTTTGTTCATCGATGGGCTACGGCTGCTCTGCTTCCGATTCAACATGCTAAACTGGCCGATAAAAAGCAGACAAGGACTGACCGTGCTGGAAACACAGCAAAAACTATGGCGACAGACATTTACGGGCAGCCTGAAATTGACCTGTCAGGTCCCTAAAAAGTAATGTAGTGTTTGTGTATTGAAGCAGAATATATCTTCTGCCTGTGTGCCACAGAGCTCCACTGTTGCTCAGACGCTATTAAAACACATCAGTGAGCTACACTACTCCGTCATTACCATGAACACACACATGACTTAATCCGACATGCACTGTCCTGCTGCCACGAATACTCACTAGAGCCTCAAATATGGATTAATCCACCGCTGAAATTAGTCCCAACAAATGCACTACTTCCTGTTTGATAAAAACTACAGTGAGCAGCTGTTATAGGAAATAACTGAGTCTTTTTTTAGTAAGTAATTTTAGGAGACGGGAAGTCAGAAAATATTGAGAGAACACGAACACACTGCTGGTTTTGGTCTTTTCATGGGATTTATCAGAAAACAAAAATAGAATAAGGCCCTGTCTACATGTACGCAGATATTTTAAAAAACTGATATTTCAGTTGTCGTTTAAAAAAAAAAATAATTCGTCCATACTGCCTACAAATATCTCGACACTCTGGAACACAAAAACGGCTCCAAACATTCGCTAGTGTTAGCTGTCTTCCACAGTAGTAAAATGTAAAGGCTAATATTTTCAAACTCCTACTGGAGACCTCATCACTGTCACTGATAGTTCACCATTGCTGTTGTTGTTTCTGCCACATACATTAAACAAAGCAACAGCGGACATGTGCGAATTGAGATGACGTCACTGTTTCCCAAACACTCCGTTTCACATGTCCACATGTTTGGAAAAATCTGCACCATAGAGGGTGTTTAAAAAATCTCTAAATCTGTTTTTGGATAAGAGGCAAAGCTGTACAGAAAAATATATGTTTTCAAAAGTATCTGTGTCTATGTAGACAGGGCCGAGAATATATATCTTTTAGACTCCAAATCAAGAGTGTTGTGGAGAAGAGATAAAGCTAAGGAAAAGGTTGTTTCTTAAGTCAGTAGCTTCCATTTGGAGACTGAGTTATAAAACTGTTCACACTGACTCTCCAACAGACCAGCAGGCGACTGTGCTGCTCCAGCACTGAACATACAGTCTGTGGATTTTACCGTGTGCTCAGAATCCCAGTGGAAAATTATACAAGTGGATGTTCACACAGACAAAATGTTTTTTGTGTTTGTTGGTGTAGCAGCATCTGTACAGTGTTACATTTCACCTTTCTTTCTTTCACAGCTAAATTTCTTCACTAACACCTGATAGGAGCCAAATATTATCTTTAAATATGTCTTTTTATATATAGTCCAGTGCGTGTGCAGGCAGGCTGACGCTCCTGCTCACCACAGTGAAGCTGCACAGGTGATCTCACTCATTCTGCCTGATTACAGACTGAGTCCAGGTCTGATCAGCCAAACTGAAACACCTGTGCAGCTGTGAGCTGATTTTAAGGCTGAAACTGATGCAGAGAGAATAAAGGAAGACATTTTAACATTTAATCATTTTTCTGTGACTTCATTTATGGGCCTGGCAGGTGTCAAGGGGCAGAACTAATACATTTTTTGTTTTACAAAGTTGTACACAAAGTTAAATTTGAATGATTAATTAATGCACATGAACTGCACAAAGTATATTTGGTGCCTGTGCCTGTTAGTTTTGTTTTCCACGCTACCTGCCAAGCTCTGTAAATATTGATTACATTTTAACAAGTTGAAAGTAAAATCACTGAAATAAAAAATTCAAATTTTAACATTAGAAACTTAGTTGTCAGGAATTCAACTCTAATTAGTGAATAAACTGTTTTCCCTCGTTAGTTTCAAGACTCTGCAGCAGTGTCTGATATCTAGAATTTAACTTAAAATCATCCAAAACTGGAATGTTTGTTTACCAACAACAAACCCAACAATAACAACAACAAAGCTTAAGCACTGCAGACATCACATGGAGCTTCTGTTTGATGTCTCTTGTGCAGATTTGTCAGCACAGGGTTGTGCTTTTTATGTTTGGACAGCAGAGCGCAGCTGGTGATCCTGTCAGTATGTGAATGTGTTTCAGTGTGCTGTTTGTCTGCGGAGCGCCGCCGTGCAGACAAACTATTTTAAAGGGCTTTATGAAGCATTCAGTGATCCAATGACTGTGATGTATGGAAGACATTTATTTCCCCCTTAAAGACGTCCTACTATCGAGTCCCAAGCATTTACGAACAAACTGGTGGCACATTTTGGTATTTCCTAATGACAGTGTGGTAGATGACTGTTTGGTATTTTTCATTCACATCAGTAGAGAAAAAAGCTCGACAGGAGCTGCACATAATCCTTTCCTTTATCCAAAAAATGAAAATTTAGATGGAATAAAACTCTTCATTTAGGACAAACTTACACTGTAACCTGAGGAAAACATTAAAGATAAAATAGTATGCTGCTAAAAAGAATTTTAAAAAATGTAAAAGTACATTTTTTCTCGTAGGCCCGCTCAGAAAATGTGTCTATTTTTTGTTATCTGTGATTTTGTCCTTGTGTGTTTTTGATGAAGTGTGTTAACACATCGTGATTGTCTCACACGGATCATGAACCTATGAGATAAATGGAGTGCAGAACCTGCAGTCCTAAAACACATTCCTTAGGATGAATGGACGTGTTAGGCCCCAAATGTACTTGCTTTTAACACGTTTGTGTGAGCATGATGCTACCTTGTGCATCCTGCGTCCATTTGGAGCATTGGTTAGTCGCACATCCTCAGAAATTAATGAGATGCATCTGCAAGATGCAATTCTCACATGAACGGTAAGAGCAGTGCTGGCAAAACAAGAAAAACATACTCGTCATTGTAACGATAGATAGCACCATCCATGATGGTGCAGCGGCTGTTTTTTCTGCCAGGATCTCAGAATCAACAATATAGTAACCTACTCAAGTTTATTGTGCAAATCCAGGAGATCTATACAGTTTCTTGTGCCGATATGTTGTCAGTGTGTGTTTCTGCAAACCAGAGATACATCATATTTGAACATTATATATATATAAAAAAAGAAAAACATGTTTTGGCTGACTGTACCCAACATTAGGGGCACTATCTTTGCTGGAAAAACAGAGACTGGTCCCAGTGATGGACACGCTGATCAGTGGGGTTACTAACGTGTCCCTAACACCCAAGCAACCTCGTCACATGTCCACATTTGGTCATGGACTTTCCACGTCCACATATGACGTCCAAGGTACCCTGGGTGTGTTGGTTGTTGACGTTCTGGGACGCCGTGTCAACTTCAGCCTGTTACATGCATTGTCTGTTTTCAAAATACACTATTGTTTTCACAGGAAATGTACAGTTTGCATACAGTCTCTTTCAAAATAAAAGCACTACATCGGTACATCACCACAAACTGGCGTTTTTTTCCTTCAACAACACACGTTTAGCCAACACATGCACGTGGTTGGGTTTAGGAAAAAAGAAAAGGGTTTGGCTGGACATTCAAACGGGAAGCAAACACTGGTCTGCCAGGTGAAAGTCAATGGTTGTTGGATTCATCCACCCTACTTGGACTTTTCACCATCTTAACTTGTTGTCATGTCACATTTCCCCCTGACACTGCCGGACGCTGTTAAACAAAAAAGGCAACCAGCTGCGTATCAGCCAATGTGAAAGGACGGCGTTTTTGATCAGTGTCTGATGCTGGAAGTCACTGCCCTAGTGCCAGTTTTCTGCACTCTGCAGAGTGAGACCAGGTTGGCTGGAAACACAGCGCTGACTGGCTAAAACACAACCGGTTCTGTTGCTTGTTGCTCTTGAACAGTGATCTGCAGCTTGGCAGGCGTCTCACCTCGGTGAGCCACTATCCAACATCCCCTCCACTTCCCGAGGACAAAGTCAGCTCATCTACAGCGTCACTTTAAAAACAATGATATGATACAACACATGCAGATGTATTGGTGCTTTGCAGAAACATACAATGCCAGCATTTTCTTCTGGGGATTGGTCGATTTGCTGCAGCAGTTAGCGTGCATGCTCTGCACTCTACGCAGCGAGGAGGTTGTTGGTTCAGTAGAGAGCTGAAGTGAAAGAACTCACAGGGTTTGTTCCAGAAGTAAGAAAACTTCAAAATTGAAAATCCCTTTGATATTTCTAATAATATAAACTACTAAAATCCAAATACAATCACTTGGTTACAAACAAATACAATCTCTGCCAACTTCACAACTTTCATCAAACTGTAGCCCCAATACTGAAGAAACTTTTGCACATTTAAACCTATTAAAAATTATGAAGTTCATCACTCTTTTTTTTTTCAAAAATTGTAAAACTTCTTAAACCTATCTCCTCCCACAATTTTTGCTCAATTGACACCAAACTTGCTACAGAGCATCTTCAGCCTGTCCTACAAAAACTATGTTTCTCAGATTTTTGATTTATCAAAAATTGAGCCTACAGTGCATCAAAATGTTTGACTGTAAACGGTACTGTAAACATATACGTACAAATTCTTGCTAAATAAATCTTCAATGTTCATGAAAAAAAATCACAAAACTCTAGAGTCATGGTAGATGATGTGTGGCAAATTTCAGAATTTTATCTCAAAAACTGAATTTTTGACAGCATTTTGAATTTTGCTCTAATGTGAACAATTGGAGTCAATGTAAAAATGGTAATTTTAGACATCAGTTTTTCACTTATGGAGCAAATCAATCATTGTTACAAACAAATTACCAACATCTCCAATTTCTCAAGCCAAGCAGTAACCTCTTGATCTATATTGTGGAGGGAGACTAGACCTCCTTTTAGTCTTTGGAGAAATCTAAACCAGTACACCGTGGTGATTAGTTTGTAATTTGAGACACACATTGAGCACACATTAATGTATGATCCTCTTTGAAACCTTCACTCTGAACATTTCCAGGTTCTCCGCGCAGACCGGATGACCTTGTTTTACACTGTTGGGAAAGAAATGGTGGAGTTTAAAAATGATTTTGCAGCTGAATGACTGTAAACGACTGTTAAATATATTCTAATACATCGAATTAGAAAAAATGTAAAAGTTTATAATGAGCACTGACTCATTTTTTATTTATCTATTTAATGTATAATCATCCATGGCACCAAATTGGAGTCCAAGCAGTGTCTTCAATATGTAACCACAAAGATTACATCAGGAATGGTGATGTGTAGAACCATTTCATGGATTTTCTGGCTGTTTACATGCTCGGAAAGTTTGAAGTGCGATGTTAAAATACCAAATTCATGCTTCTCCTGACCTCTGACCTCCTTTTAGAAAGATTCAGGGTTAAAGTTTGTGTACAGACACAGACGACGGACATCCTGGTCATCTCTCTGCTGCAGAGAACTCCTTCCTTTTGATTAATAAAGACTGAGACATGAATCCATTCAGGGTGCTTTGAGCTGCAGGTTCTCCACTTTATCTTTAAGTTTCTGAGAAAGAATGAGTGCAGAATCACTTTCATTATTGTTATTACATTATTATTGTTTCCTGACATCATTTTCATTCAAGAGAAGACTGAAACTGCTGCGTTTGTTTCCTCTTTGCTTCAGTAGTTGATGTGTTTCTATGAGTAGATGAGCGGTTGGATGCTGACCAGCAGGGGGCGTCAGCTGCTGTCAAACTGCATCTACTGCAGCTGCTGTGTGTGTGTGTGTGTGTGTGTGTGTGTGTGTGAGTGAAAGTGACTTCATTTACTGTGTTAATAAAATGATGCAAACCTGTTTGGTATCTGTGTCATGCCTTGTAGGAGAACATCAATAGAGAGCAGCAGAGCAGAGAGAGTTGATCAGTGGAGGAACACGCAGAGATGACAGTCATCACAGTATGTTTCTCTGCATTCATAGCTGAGATGCGCCACGCCACTTCCATGACTTTTCCAGGTTTTCCATGTCTGTGGCTTCCATTTTTGTGAGGACTCTTCAAAGATTAAATCTCTAAAGAGCATCCAGGGTAGATAAAAATATAAAATCCTCTCCCTCAGCAGCTACTGTGCCTTTAAAGTGCTGAAACTGTTTAAATTCATTTTCCCCTCATCAATCTACACTCAGTGGTGACAAAAACAGGATTCACAGTTTTTTCCCCAAGTTTTATTGAAATGGACTTATTTGAAGCCTCCAGTCTTCTTCCTGCGTTCACCGTGCTTCACTGTTGGGACGCTGTTGTGCAGGTGATTAAATGTGACACAACACACTTCAAATCTTTGTCTCTTCAGCTCAAAGACTCTTTAGTCCTTTAGGAGCTTTCATGTGTCTCTCACTGAGGAGACGTCCGGTCACTCTGCTGTAACGCCCATCACCTCTGTGAGGGCTGTGGTGACGGTTGTCCTTCTGGTATATTCTCCACACAGGATCTCTGGAGCTCAGCCAGAGCCACCATCACGTTCTGTGTCTCTAACCATGAGGGCCCTTCTCTCAGCTCTAATCTGACTGTTTCAAACTTCTTCCTTTTAGAAACTATAGAGGCCACTGAGCTGAACCTTCAGTGCTGCACAAATGTTTTGTAGCCTTCCCCAGCTCTGTGCCTCGATACAGTCCTGTCTCTGAGCTCTGCAGGCAGCTCCTTCCACCTCATGGCTCGTCATCTGTCATGTGACACCTGACAGAGACAGGTGTGTGCCTCTCCAAATCAGGCCCAATTAACTGAATGGATCACAGGTGGACTCCAATCAAGGTGCAGAAACATGTGAGCTTAATTTCCAGTGTCATAGTAAAAAGTCTGAATACTTCTGTCCATGGGATGTTTTATTTTTTTCTGTCTAATAAAACAAATCCCAAATCCTGTTTTCACTTTGTCATTACGGAGTGTTAAATGTAGATTGATGAGGGAGTGTGAATAAAGTGGAGGGGTCTGAATTCTGTCTGAATGTTCTGTAGAAGAGGCATTTTCTAGTTTTAAGCAGCTCTGCTCTTCCTGACTTTTCACTCTTTTTTGTTCTGCTTTATTTATTTTTTAATGTCTCCATGCAGACGATAGCTGTGGGACGAGGCATCCGTCCATACCATACTTGTGAATGCAGTATCTCAAGAACGCCTTAAGGGAATTTCAAATTTGGCACAAACATCCACTTGGACTCAGAAATGAACTCATTTGTTTTTGATGGTCATAGCTTTAAAGCCAAGGTCACTGTGACCTTGACTGTCTCATTCTCGTGAACGCAATATCTCTAGAACGCCTTTGTGGGATTTTTTTTCTTTCAAATTCAGCACAAATGTCCACCTGGACACAAGAATAAACTGCTAAGATTTTGATGGTCAAGGGTCAGAGGTCAAGATCGCTGTGACCTTGCATCCATCTCATTCTCGCAAACACAATATCTCAAGAACACCTGGAGGGAATTTCTTCAAATTTGGCACAAACATTTACTTGGGCTCAACGATGACTAGATTTTGGTGGTCACAGGTCAAAGGTCAAGTCTATGTGACCTCATCTGTCTCATTCTCGTGAACGCAATATCTCTATGACACTTTGTGGGAATTTTTTTTAAGTTTGGCACAAATGTCCACTTGAGCTCAAGAATAAACTGATTAGATTTTGGAAGTCAAGGATCAAAGATCAAGATCACCTGACCGTGCATCCATCTCATTCTCGTGAATGCAATAAGTCAAGTGCACCTTGACGGAATTTCTTCAAATTTGGCACAAATGTCCACTTGGACTCAATGATGAACTGACTAGATTTTGGTGGTCACAGATCAAAGGTCAAGTCTATGTGACCTCTCATCCTTGTCATGAATGTGAGTGATATCTCAGAATTTCTGTTCACTCTAATTTGGCACAAATGAATTTGGCATATATATCCAAAAGGGCAAAGGTCAGCTTCACTGTGACATCATAATGTTCTGCGTAAAACACTTCTCTGGCCATTACTCAGCGTCATAAATCAGGAACAGAAGGGGAAACATTTGGTCAGATAGTGAATTGGTGACTCTAATCTTGGTTGCCCACCTTGAAGCTTTACTGATTGTATAGACCTTCCTGTGATGTCGGGGGGGAAGATGTGTGTGAACCATCCATGTTGTCATAGACATGGATGTAAACTGTAACTGCAACTTGACTGGTCCACAGTGGCATACAGCCGTGAGGCAGTAATTCTAGTCTGCTGTTAGAGAGAAACATGTTGCTGAACAAATACAGAAAATTTACATAAAAGACGAGGAGGCAAATCTGTTCATCTGAACTGTTATTTAATTGAAATACAAGTCAGTACCATTAGGTTTTCAGCCTATTATCAACAGTACACAATGTCCATACTTACGTTTTGTACAAAGAGGTATCAGTTATATAAAAACACAGTACGCAATAGTTAAAAATGAGACATACATGAATACATTTCAGCCATACTTCAAGTGTCAGGAATCCTCTGTGTTTGTATTAACTCTCCTCTGTCACACACAGACCAGAACTGGCATCAGTTAACCCGATGAATAACCGCCGGCTGGCATCAGGAGCGTCACGATAAATGAAAATGTGCTATGACTAATAAATATGCTTCCATATCCTGCAGGCGTACCGGCACTGCGCCAAGCGGGCAGGGGGTGGAATGGAATTACAAACTTTTTACATGCCGGACACCAAACTGAAACACAATTAAATAATATTCCATAAACAGTATCTGTATTAAATATTCTAGTCATGCAGTATATTCAGTTGAGAAATAATTTAATAGATCTTTTCATTGCAGCGATGAACACAACAAGAGCGAGCTGCTAACTGATGGTGGAGGCCTGTCACACCGTCTGAGTGTTGACTCCACTTTTACTCCGACTCCACGTGTTGTTAGAGGAAGATTTTCTACCAGAACTGATAATTAATCAACAACAGCTGATAAGAACTGGCTTTATGGTTGCACGAGGTCTTGAGATAATATTGGAAATGATCATGAAAATATTTTTTGGGACAAGAAAACAAAAAAGTCCTTTTCGTAAAGCTGGGTTAGGCAGTTTTATTTTGCTGTCTGGGCAAAAATCCCCAAATAAACTTTGAGCATATTGTAATTCAAGAGAAAACTGAACTTCTGCACCTCCTCTTGGCTCTGTTGTCAGGTTTTAGAAAATCTAGCCAGTGACGAGCGTCTGTGGTCGATCACAGGTCATTTCAGAGAGACGGCATTCCTATTTGCTGTTCTACAAATGCAGATGCACATCTCTTCAGTGAAAGTCTGATTCAGTGGCGGAGAATCCAGAGAAAGTTGCTATTCCAACACTGGCAACATTGTAAAGCAACCCAAAAAAGGAAGACGGACTAATCAAATCAAAGAGTCTAAAAGAGTGTGTCCATATCAGCAAAGTGTTTCAGGAGACAAAATGTTGCTAATATTCTAGCCTTTTACTAACTGTAGCTAAAGGCTCATGACTGTGGCTTCAAGTTCACATTTATGTAGCTAACATTAGCTCAGTGTGTTCTCCGCCTCACTCCCCGCCACTACGGACCACCTCGCCGGGAGGAGAGCGGGCAGCAGTGAAACCCGACAGCCCCAACTCTCCTGTGGATCAGCAAACTGTCTGTTCTGCCGTTACACAGCTTAGAGCCGGTGCTGCTGTCGACCACCAGCTGTTGTAACTGCTGAATTCAAGCTGCTACAGCGGCGGACTGAAGGTCGGTTTCTGGAGCTGCTGTCTGCTTTCCTCCCAGGGAAGCAGTCCACAGTGGCGGGAGGGAGGCGGAGGGACTACCAGGTGGCTAGCAGCTAATTCTTGTCTCATTTGTGGATTGGGCAAGGAGGTGCTGAGTGAATCTGTGCAACTCTACAATGAAATAAGATTAAATAAATCCATGTAGGGGAAACACAAGGTTGAACTGTATGAAGCACATGCATTTGCCCGTGGTTGTCTGGTGGGAGGGTGTATTTTCAAATTCTTCTGATTTTTTTGCCATTTCCAGGAAACTGCGTACCTCAGATTTAACTAAATGTACTGCATGTTTCGGTAAGAAGTGATCGGCTGCTCTTTATTTCACGTTTCACCAAAGGCCCCTAAACACGGTGCTGGTTGTCAGTTGTAATCACAAACCCTCTCCACACAAGAAGTAACTTGAGTAGTAGAGAGGATCCCCTCCAAAATAAAAATTGCTTTTTGCCCAATTCTTTCTCTGTTTATTCCAAATATACCAGAAACACATTGCATTCTGTGTTTGGAAGAAAAAATACGATGAAGAACAATTAGAGAATGACAAGAGGGATTTTGTTTTACGTGTGAACATCGCAGTTGATGCAGCATCAACAGGACTGGCAAAATGTTCAAGATTTCCTTTAAATTATCCAACTTGATAAACGAACACATGTGAATCAAAGTTATTGTAGGTCACTCTGGACTTTCCTCTCACTGTTCACAGTAACTGTTGGACCACGTGGACTTAAACGTACCCATTTCTTTCCTCATGCTGGAGTTGGAGTCAGGGTGGAGAGAGGCGGCGGTTTCCTGGACTAGGAGGTTGGAGGTCGGAGGGCGCGGCAGGAGTGGCAGCAGGCCTTGCTGTAGTACCAGTGGCTGCACAGGTTGACCTTCAGCGCCAGCAGGCAGTTGGTGGAGGGACGATCCTGGCAGCTCTCATCTGGGGCACAGTTAACACATGTTAGAGTTCAGTTTCAGAACAGTTAAAGTAAAGATGCTCTAAAACAAATTGTGAAGCATTACAAGCAATGAATGGTAGACACTTCCAGTCTCTTAAGGCCCTGACACCAAGTCGACGGCCAGCCGTTGGTCAATGATTGGCCATCGGTGAGCGTTGGCCCAATGTTGGCCTGGCGATGTCAGGTGACTTTCTAGTGGCACCGAAAGTCCTCTGCTGTGTCACTTCACGTCGCCATGTCTTGGCTAAAACACACATCACATAGACTAAAGCCAATGGCCAACCAGCACATATGTTCTGTGTCACTCTCCACACCAGCAGACAGCAACCGTCTGTTATCCTCATTCAACAACATGACACTAGTTAGCCAATTAGCACATTAACAACACAATCCCACAGTAAATGAACAGAGCATATTTACTGTGCGCGAGTGAACAATAACACAAACCATCATGAAACGTTTCTGCTAAAAGGTTTGTTTTGGTCTCACTTTTCTTGACTTGAGCTCTTTGTTTACTTTCCTCACTTCTGTTTCTCTGCTTGTGCGCTGAGCTGAACTGCCAATCCGACAGGGCGACAGGCGCTTACCTACAGCCAACTATCGGCTTGGTGTGTCAGGGTCTTTAGGGAGCTGTCATGCTGTTCCACCTTTAAACACAGTCATTGATACTACCCATGTTGTAGGGACATAAATCTGTTTACACAGTCACATTGTGGGGACTCGCCTTCCTTTTGGGACAAAACGTAAGTCTCCAATACCGGTACCAGTTAGGGTATGCCTCTAAGAAATAAGTCCATTTTATGTCCTCTGAAGTGATGGATGTGTATGTATGTGTGTGCATGTGTAAAGCCCAGTTCAGATCAAGGATTTATGACAAGACAAAACCATTTTAGAACGTTGCAGAGAAAAGTTGCAGCGTGTTTGCTTGCTGTGTGCCGGTGTCAGACGGTGGGTCGCTGCTGCTGCTGGCTGTATGTGCTTATGCCCCGCCCACACACACACACATTCTCATTGACTGATGAATTGGCGCTGGTTATTTATATTATTTGTGGTGTATTGATTATGAATACAGTCCATCTGATGCTGGTTTTGTTTCATCACTGTAGCCAGTATCTCACTATCACTATCCTCATTCAGATTTTAAGAAGCTACAAATTATATTCAGCCACAAAATAAGTCTGAAAAGCTGCAAATCAGAACGAAAGTACAGAGAGTTGTTGACTAGAGATGATACGCCGTCTCATGGTGGTCACTTCCTGTCAACGTTACAGATCAGAAGCACAGAGAGTTGTTGGCTAGAGATGATACGCCGTCTCATGTTTTTAGAACGTTGCAGAACAGCACATTGCACGTAGTCGCCTGTTTCAACTCCTCTCATTGTGAATCTTTGGTCTGACCTGGGCTTTAGCTTCTAAAGGCAGAGCAGCAGATCCCCTGAGCTGTTACCTGGCGGCTCCGTGGGGCAGGGCTGCAGGGTGCAGGTCTGTTTGGCCACAGGTTTGGTGAGGGGGTCGCAGCCTCGGACCAGCTCCCTGCCCTGGTAACACTTGACATCCCTCATCCTCACACCCACGCCACACGTCTTTGTGCACTGAGGACAGAAACACAGTCATTATAAACCACTAATTAACTCAAGGATGTCTTTGTGGTCTCACTGGTGCTGAGACACCTAATCTCCACATCTGTGTGGTGACGGTGAAGTGTGTGAACTGTGCTGAGCTCACCTCAGACCAGGGCGTGGTGTACCATTTGAAGCATGGTCTCTCAAAGCAGGTGTTTTCCTCTTCGGGCTTCTCGCTGCCTCCACACGCCTCCTCATCAAAGACCTGGAACTTTCCTCCACTGATGCCGACGCAGAGGACGAGCCTGTGCTTCACACCTCGACCACAGGTTGTGTTACACTGCAGACAAAAACAGAAATTATTCACACACCTAAAGGGACTTTCTGCATTTTACAGTTTCTTTATTTAATATATTCTAGAGAAACAGATAGTTCATAATGTCCAAGTACAGGGTTGGAGGCAGCAACGCAGCAACACTGTCAGGTCACATGGATCAAAGTTTTTAATAGATAACAAGTCAAATAACTGTTCCTGACACCCTCACTGTGCAGTATTCTCTCAGTTTGCTTCTGCTTCTTAAATCTGTCGACTTCATTGGTTTGATAACTTATTTACTTGTTTTGTTTACTACACTGCTCATGTAGCTATACCTTCAAAATGCCACCTTGGGGATGTCACACAAATCCACACACGTGACTGACAAAAAACGATAATATAAAACAAGGAAAGCAGCAAATCTTCAGAAGTTAAACCTGGAGAATGTTTGTGCTTGGTATTTGACTTAAACAATAATCAACAGTTGGATCAATCAGAGTATCTTTTGTCAGTCAGCAGTTTCAGATGTACTAATAAACAGTTAAATGTTGGACTCTATGTGGAGGCCTCACCCTCTCCCAGTCTTGGCTCAGCCAGTATGGAGCACAGTCTCGCTCCCCACAGGGGTGGATGGCCAGCGGCTTTTCCTCCGCAGAGCACTGGTTCTCAGGAACCACGCGACCCTCTGGAGCCTTACAGTACACATGACGCACCGTCTTCCCCTGGCCGCACGACCCTGAGCACTGCAACAGCAAAGGGTCAAAGGTCAAACTGGATGAATCACATGCTCTCATCAGTGCCTTCTTCAGCCAAGTGTTCGTCACGAAGCTCAGAGTCACACACTGTTTGTCACATGAAGTCAGATCAGGACGCCTCACAACATATTAAATAAAAGGAAGCATCACATGAAATGAAAAGACATCAAGTCAGATCACACCACATCAGAGGAAAGAAAGAACACATCATGTCACATCAGATAAAACACAGGAAGTCTGATCATTCCTCTGTGCCAACACATGTTAAGAGAGTTAATTATTTACTGTAGTTAAAGGAATATCTTATCCACAAAATGACCATTTGTATGTCCCTTACTCACCACGTGTCATCTTTGTCTTTCTTGCATGGCTCTACGGTGAACAGAGAATCCAAAAAGCCAAACATATTCACGACCTAAACTGAACAGGGACCGAGTTTAACAACAGCAAAACACCTGTTTACAAACTCATGCATGATGGAGTTGTGTGTCCCGGCACACGTGTGCGCTACTTGTAAAGTGTTTTATACTGTAAGAATGAATTGACAGTGAGACAGTGGGCACACAAGCAGATAAATGAGACCTGGATCATGCTGTGAGATGTGTGAGAGTTTGTAAACGGATGTTTTGACACAGTTTTGTTGCTGTTAAAAATGGTCCCAGTGACTTTAATTCATTAAGACTGTTTGCCTTTATGTTTTCAGGGTGACATGCGGAACGTAATTGACAGACAAATGCTCAGTTTTTGGTTGAAGAGTTCTTTTACAGTATCCAACAAAACCTCACGTTCTTTGAATTACACAGAGTGGTACAACACAGTGTGGCTGAATTTCTTTAGGTGAGGGAGGAGATTGGTTGATTGATTTTTTTAATTTTGTGCCATGCACACTTACATGTGCCCAGCCCTTATGGATTTACAAGGTACCATCACAATGACGTTGCAGTAAACGATCCAGGGCGCGAGTTATTTTACTACTCATTCCTGAACCAAAAGACTCTGCCTTCTGTCCAGGGGCGTCGCTAGGAGTTGAAAACATCCGGGGCTTCAGCCCCGAAGTGGGCTAAAGCTATTTTACCTGGGGGTCCGGATGTTTCACCCCTGGGAAAATTTTGAATAAGTCCCTGTTAAACATGTCATGAACATATGACTGCCCTATTTGCTCTCCTCCTGCTGCTTTTTTGTTTTTTCCAAAAAAAGTATCTCCGATGAAGCGGAGCGGCGTGCAGCTTCTGGGACGCTCCAGAGACGCTGCGCACCGCTCGCTGTGGAAATGAAGCTATTTACTAGAATGGGAGCATATTTGCTATGTAGTGCGCTATGCTGGGCTGCGTACCGCTGACGGGAATGCCCAGGTCTAACGATCCCATGCTTCTATCCCCGGCCCAGCAGAGAAATTCAGCCACAAAAAAGGTTCCCCGTCTGAAACATAACTCATTCCTCACATTCCTGTCTTCATATACAGGACAGTAAAACGAGAAATGAACCTCATTCTCACATTCACCAAAATTACCCAACAAATTCTGTCGTCCTCGTAGGTGGTATTAAACCTTCCAGTCTCTAAGGCTAACGGTAATGTTCCTGAGTGCAACTGTGCACATATGGATCTTTAAGTAAGGGACACTTCATGGCAGGTTCCACACTATGGCTATTTTGGAGAAGAAGTACTTGTTATAGAGGCATTTGTCGTTAGTATTGATCTTACAAACGTTTAGACCTATCATCCTATCAGCCTACTTGATGCAACATAGCAATCAGCTGACACACCTGTTACTGTACAGTATTTATTAAGCTTCATTTACACACCTACCTGCTCATGATGGTGGTTTTGAAGTGAAACCAAAAGCTTGAAACACCCACAGTAACTCTCTTTTTAAGAATAACTACACTTTTAAACAACCAACTAAACTAAGTTCATTTCATCTTCACTGAATTGGGTAGGAGGCAAAAATCAAAAAACCTGGACAAATAAAACCAAAGCTGTCTGCATGGACAGAAACAACTAAAGGTAAGGTGAGTTCTCTCACCAACTGTTTAATGTAAAAACAAGTTGATGTAAACTCAACTCAGAGGAGTAACAACACACTCATACAGATGCTTTGTCTACCTCTTTTTACACTATGAGGAGGACACAATAATAGAAATGCCTCTCTCTGAACATACAGATTTACTACAGGGCTGTCGTACTGGCACAGATGGACATAATAAAATGGTAAAGCACAATATGTTCAAAATGTAAAGGCACATGTGCTCACGGTTGGTAGTTTCCTAAATAACAATAAATATTCCTGACCTTACATTAGCTGTTTCATGGGGAATAATATTTCATGCTGTGCAAAGAAAACTTCACATCCGTCCATGTTTGTGCCTGGTTGGACTCCACAGTTGTAAATTAGACCTGCAAGTTTCCAGACTCTGACTCTGAATGGAACATCAGGAACTACACACAATAAAAAACATAAATTCACACTGTGGCACTGAGGTCGGAGCAGCTGGGACAGGTGAGGTGGTTTATTTGGAGCAGCCCTGTCGAACTCAGGACATTAAGAAGAGGAAAATCCTTCTTAAAATATTAGAAAAGAAATTCAAAGTCAACAACTCAGACACTGATTATAAAACAATCCTTAAAATCATGCGAGGGACTTCATTTCACCGTCTGTAACTTCTCAGGAGGGAAAGAAGGTTTTGGAGAGGCTCCAGGCAATAAACACACATCACACTGTTTATGTTACTGTCTGTGTATGTTGTGTACATGAAGAGTAAAGACACTCACAGGCCCCCACTCAGACACAGTCCAGTGGCGTTCACAAGGTGGACCGGTGCAGTTTTTGACATTTGGTGGTTTGGTCATCGGGTCACATGGTCGGGTCTCGTCAGAGCAGCGGACATCGCGGGTCACCTGGGCTTTGCGGCCACATTTCGCAGGACACTGGATGAAGGAGAGGCGCACAGAGACAAACTGTTAGGAGATAAACACCAGAGTCATGTTGCATTAAAGTAGCAGCGTGAGATGTCTTAAGGTGGAGCATTATCTTCACACAAATACTGCTGCTGCTTTGATTAAGGCCCAGTGTCCAACCAAACACCAAGCGCTCCTCAGGAAACTGGGACCACTAGACAGCAAGGTGCGGCGTTCTTTCCAGCTGAGACACTTTGGTTGCGTCTGGTTGCTATGATATGAGATATCCGTGGAAGTAAACATGTTGGCACAAGGTTGAGGACTTACTTTGGATGAGGGGAAGGGTAACACATGCAGGGGGGAGAGGATGGACTCGTCAGTGTGTGGGATCATGAGAGGAAACATAATACAGATACAGCTGTTAACAGATTTCACCTCCATTGTTGAGATGTGACAGTTTGCTTCCTCCACTGTGACTGAACAGACGTAGTGACAGTGACAAGTGCAACATTTTTGTCTAGAGTTGAACATTTTTCAACTTTCAACTTCTCAACAGTGTCTGGTCTCGCTATAAATATGCTGCACTCCCATTGCAAAGCAATAAAATAATACACCAGCCTCAGAAAATAACACTTTGGTGGACACGTCCCCTAAGACAGCTGGACTTATTTGGAGCCTTTTTCAAATTTGCATAAACTTCTGTTTTAACACAGTCTGAACTCTGTTGGAAAAGACGAGATAAACAAATCTTGAGAATCTGACTGGGTGTTAATGAACTTTTAATACATTTATTTATCAACATTTATTGTTGCCTAGTCTAAAAAAAGTAGTTGTTTACTACTTTAAGGTCCAGTGTGAAGGATTTAGGGGAAGATATTTGCAGAAATGGAATTTATCAATAAAAGAAGTATGTTTTCTTTTGTGTATCATCACCTGAAAATAAGAAGCATTGTGTTTTTGTTACTTTAGAATGAGCCGTTTATATCTACAAAGGACGCAGGTCGTCGTTCACGCAGATTGCTATGTTGCAACACCATGTTTCTACAGTAGCCCATAACAAACAAACCAAACACTGGCTCTAGATAGGACCACTAGGGGTGGAAAAACACTGCCAACATTAAACTGCTTTAATTAGTGTTTTTACTAGTTGTAATCACTGGGTCAGTTTGTTTTGGAGAGGAAGAGACCTCTGCCGATAATTGATCTCACATTAAAAACCTCCTGAACATCTGGATCTTAAATTATCAGAGATAAAAAGTGAGCACTGATTAACAGGTGCACGGCTAGCGACAAGCCTAAAAGCAAAGGAGAAACAGTGATTTGTAATGTAAAACCTTTTATTCAGTGTTTTACCAGTTTAAATTCCCGGGTCCATGTATTTTGGAGAGGAAGAGACCTTTGCAGAAAATATGGACGTTCAGGAGGTTTTCACTGGGTGCCAAATTATCTGCAGAGGTCTCTTCCTCTCCCAAACAAACAGACCAGGTGACTTAAACTGGTAAAAACACTGAATAAAGCAGTTTCACCGTCACAGAGAGGCTGCTACAAATGGTGGCCAATGTGAAACTGAAACAGGAAAAACGAAAAAAGGTGAATGGCCCTAACTAAAGCCAGTGTTTGGTTTTGTCTGTTGTAGACTACTGTTGAAATATGGTGGTGCAACAGCTCATTCTAAGCTACTGAAAACACAATCGCTCTTATTTTCAAGTGATAACACACTAATGAAAACATACTTATTATATTGCATTATTTTTCTGCTGATATATCCCCTTATTCCTCCACACTGGACCTTTAAAATGTTCTGAGAGCAGCTGACCGTATCTGGACTTCTGGCTGTTTAAACACTGTGTTGCTCCAGAGGGAAGAAATGATCAGCGAGCTGTTCACTTTTCTGTAGTTTTCAAACCCTTTGGCTCAAATCACATCTTTTTTTTGTGTGTCTGCTAAGTGTCTCTGGAGAATCCATCAGTGACCACAATCAGACCACAAGACAGCAGCAGACAGCTGTTAAACCTGAACCTGACAAGAGCAAGAGAGATGTCTGCACTGCAAGAACATCTCTCTGTGACTGACAGAGTTTTGATCAACAGTCAAAAAGAGCAAGCGTCCAAACAAACTGGTTAAATCAGTGAAATAAATCCAAAGGTCAACAGCGGGTGACAAAGAAGTACAATAACTGTCATGAGCTACAAAAAGAGAAACAGAGTTACAAAGCAGAAAAGGCCACATGTGCTGTAAAGACACTAAACACACACCTCCTCTCTTTGTTAACTTGCTCCATGTGTTTGAAGTGTTTCCTCAGCAGGGAGAATCAGTACAGATGTTTCATACCTCAGTCCACTCAGCCACCTCCCACTGTGGGCCGCAGGCGGGGCTCTTGCAGGGCCGTCTCTCCACGGGTCTCTCCAGGTCGGCCATGGTACAGAGGTCGCTGTACACTGAGCTGTCCAGGCCCGGCGAGAGCATCTTCCAGCAGCGAACTTGACGAAACTGAAAACCCTCCCCACAGGTCCTGGAGCACTCGCTCCAGCTGCTCGCCTCCCATCTGAAACACCACGTTAGTCGACTTCAGATCAGGTTCTGTTCAGGTACACTCAGATTATATAACAGCAGGAAATATGGTGCTCAATGTTGTGTTGAACAGTTTGAATCATTTCTGGCTCTTTAAAATGTTTTACTGCACCTGGGCTGACATTCTCTCCCAATACAGAAGTCGTGGACCGGCTCCGGTCTGGTCAGAGCATCACAGTACATATCGTGCACCTCGACGCCGTCATAACGAATACATGTGACGAAGGACTTTGATACTCCTGGATTGTAAGCAAGAAACAATAAGCTGAAGGCAAACTTATTAATAAAACACCTTTTAAACACTAGAAAACAAAACTCAATGTGCTTTGCATCAAAGACAGGAAGACGTTCGGGAGCTAATCACAAATAGGTCACAACAAGCACACACAAGCAAGAAGGTGCAAACAAAATATCCAGTTGGCAGAAAGTAAAGTATCGTGATTACTTTTAGAGACGTTGGACTGTTTTAATATATATGCATCTTCTCACTTTATTTAGCAATGCTGCTTTATGGTAAAGCACTGAAAGCAAACTACAGCCTGCTCATCGAAGAAAATGTTGGTGTTACATGAAATACATTTGCATGTTTCATACGTATCATGTACGGTATCACCACTGCAGACCGCTGTTTGAGACCAACAAAACTGTTTTTTAGTGAGCCATTGCTGATTTTCCTGTGGCCTTTGTGGCACCCAATGTGGGTGTTTTTTAGGGACCCGTTGTTGTTTTTTTCCAGCAGGAATAGTGTAGTGTAAAAGTTCGTGTCCAACAAATCAAGTAACAAGGTTAAGATACATAAGTTGATTAAGAGACAAAAAGATCATATAATCATGTTTCATGTACAAGGCATTATAAGACTCCTTGATCTGCATCTGAATATGATAAAACATTGTTGTATATGTCAAAGTATTCATAGCACCAGACTATGTAATCATGTTGTATGCACCTACTGAAAGAACACACTATGTCTTGTTTAATGATGAAACACATACTCAAATGTTGTAATACACACACACATTCACATATTGTATTCTAAAGGTTCACTTTGTATAAGAATGAGAGCACTGAGGACTGTATAAAAAGTCCCCAAAATTCACGTTTTTTAAAAATAGAGTGAAAGCGAAACCAGACCTAAGGGTAGAAGATTTGGGAAATTCCAGGCTGCATTACACCATTAAAAACGGGCCTAATCAGAATTGGACACAAAGAAAAGTTTTCCACCAATAGAATTGGACTTGAGTGGGAAGGATTTGCAAAAAGAGGTGGAGACTCATTTGAATCTCCACCAGCATATAAGCCAGGGTTCTGAGAGCAGTTTTTCAGTCACACTCCGGAGTCTGACTCGCTAAGTTGTATGTGTTAGAGCCTGTTGACACATTAAACTTGATTGCATCGGACTTTGCCTGTTTCCAGTGTTTCTTTTAGTATTTACTAGCTTATCCTAAGATATCATAATCGACATCTGAGGACAACTGACAAGAGACAAGAGGTTCAAGGTCGGGAGCCTACAGGCCCACTTCCAGGCGCCGACTTTAGACACTTCAATAGTGCCACAGGAAATGGTGTTTTTTTAACTTAGATGTCGCTGCGTTTAATGCAGCTTTTAGCCCTCAAACGTGGGTATTTTTTAGCATTCTGTCACTGTTTTTCCTGCAGTGGTAGTGCCATAAAAAGAGGTAGTTTACTCCTCAGACATCACTGCGTTTCTTGTAGCTTTAAGGTATCTGTTGCTGTGCATTTTGTGTTGAGGGACAAAAAGCAGTGGGTCTTTACAGACATTGTTGCTTTTAATGCAGCTTTTTAGGCAGCAAACATGGGAATTCCTTAGGTACTTGTCGCTATTTTTTAGGGACCGATGACTGGGTTTCCTGCAGTTTTTCAGTCCCCAAATTTTGGTGTTTTTTAGTGTCCCATCGCTGTGTTTCCAGTGAAGATAGTGCGATGAAAAAGGATGTTTTCTACCAAGACACTGCTGCATTTCCTGCAGGTTTTTAGCCACCAAAAGTGGGCTTTGTTAGCGACCCGACACTGTTTTTCCAGCAGGGGAAGTGCTATTGAAAAATACGTTTTTTTCCACTGACACATGCGTTTTTTTCGCCACCAAAAGTGGGTGAATTAAAGGAATCTGTCACAATGTTTTCTGTGGCATTTTAGCCACCAAACATGGGTGTGTTTTAGGGACCTGTCGCTGTTTATCCAGCAGGTACTGGGACATGAAATATTGCGGTTTGTTACAGAGAAATTGTTGCATTTAATGCAGCTTTTGAGGCATCAAAAATTTTTGAGGGGTGGATCACTAGGTTTCCTGCAGCTTTAGAACCCCTAAATGTGGATGTTTCCAAGCTGCTCTTTGCTATTTTTGCGGTGGGGCTAGTGCCATGAAAATAAGTTGTTTTTAACCAAGACATTGCTGCATTTCTCATAGCTTTTTAGCCACCAAACGTGGGTGTGTTTAAGGGACACGTTGCTGTTTTGCCAGCGGGGAAACTGCCATGAAAAGCAGTTGCGGGTAATATGCCCCCAAAACCAGGTATTTTAAGTCAAAACACGATCTTTTTCTAACTATAACCTAATCACATGTTATCCACAGTGTTGTTGAAACTATCAGCGTATGCGCCACATAATGCGTACAAATGTAATGTAACCGTGGTTTACAGAAACATACAATGCAAACATTTTTTCCGGCAATTGATTTAAAAATTTTGTTTGAAAATGTGCAAATTTAAATAAAGTTTATTGTTATAATTAAAAGGAGTTCAGTCAATAGTAATTATTCACACTGTTTGGCAAGTCCAAATGTGTGTGTGTGTGTGTGTGTGTGTGTGTGTGTGTGTGTGTGTGTTTGTGTGTGCATTTGTACGTACCTATAGAACAGGTCATGCTGCAGGGCTCCTGAGAGGAAAGTTTCCAGCGGTACATGTCAGCAGCGCTCAGCTTCAGGTTCTTCTGGTAGATCCTTTGATTCCCCCTGTCACACAAATGTTCAGCCCAGGAGTTTGTGGAGTGCCTGTCAAAGCTTTGATACTTTATTTACTGTTAAGATAAGTCACACCTGCAGTGAAGACCACAGACAGATTTTAAAAAGACATATTTTCAGTGGAACATTCTTTTAGGGACATTTAAGGATACACATGCGTGCAGAGGCTGAGACACTCTGAGACTGACCACAGTGTGACAGCTGATTCACAGCCTGCATCCCAGCAGACGCACTTTGTTTTTTCATCACATCGCATAAAAGTCATGTGCACATTCTTCTGTCATAACACCGGTCGCTCTCTCCGCCTCTGCCAGACGTTTATTTGAAAATCACTTTGAGTTATTCCTCGCTGGCATCCCTCCATGTGAGCCAGACTGATTCCTGCACATTATTTTCTCCCCAGAGGTGACTGCAGTCTGACAGCACACTTTCCCCCTTTGCATCATATTTTTCACTTTTCTTGCAAATACCTTGAATTATTTGTTTCTAAGTGTGGCTGTAACTCCCCCCTCCTCCCCCCTCCTCTCCTCAGTGCTCCTCTGCTCTGCTCGTTTCCTCTCCTCTCTGTCTCTCAGAGGAGAGGGCGTGTCATCCACTGTTTTATAGCTGCTGGCTGCAGGACTGGTGAAGCCGTGTTTGGACGCAGAGCAGCGAAGCCAACATGAATTATAAATATGATGAATGGAAAACCTGCCAGGCCTACCTGCCTGTTTTTATACCTGTCTGTCCTACTGCGTTTGTCTCCCTGCCTGTCTGCCCTGCAATCTGTATATTTACCTGGGCCTGGGCCTGTACATAAACTCAAAACTCATTTGAGATACGGTGGTCTTGATGCTCATTTTACCAGGTTTCTGTCAGATTACTGTGTTCTGCTGGAATCTGTTAGAATAGAATAGAGTTAGAACCTAGTTTCTGTTGGACTACCTTACATTTGTTCTGTTAAAATACCTGGTTTGTGTCGGATTACCTTCGTTCTGTCTGATTACCTTTGTTCTGTTAGATTACCTTCATTCTGTCTGATTACCT